TGAATGTGCGCTCTGTTCCCGGACCCTCAGGCTGCTCCGAGTATCACAGCCAACATCACCGCATCACTGCTGAGCGTCTGTGAGTGGAGCAGGACGGTCAACCCTGAGGATGACACGGATCCCGGCCATGCTGACCTGGTCCTCTACATCACCAGGTAGCCGAGCTCCCCACCGGCGCGCCAGCCTGCCGGGGGGTTGCCCCTACTCTCTGCAAAGGTAGCCCGGCGGTGGGCAGGCACCTCGGCACTGCCCAGCTAGCTGTTCTCTCCTCCTGAGGTTTGACCTGGAATTGCCTGATGGGAACCGGCAGGTTCGGGGGGTCACCCAGCTGGGTGGCGTCTGCTCCCCCTCCTGGAGCTGCCTTATCGTTGAGGATACTGGCTTCGATCTGGGGGTCACCATCGCCCATGAGATCGGGCACAGGTAAGAGGCCCCAACCCCTGTCCCCAAGCTCCGGACAAGGACGTGACCTGGGCCCCCAGGAGGGGAGGTCATGGCTGGCAGTGGTCCCTAGAAGAGCCAGCTGGAGAAGCCTGTACTCTTGACCCCAACGGACTAGGGAGGGTGGGCGGGGGCAAGGGCTGGGAAATCTGATATTTCTTCATTACCGAAGGATTAAAAGAAAAAAAAATTTTTTTTCAAAATACAAGGAAAACAAACTTAGGAGCTAAAAAGTAATTTTTGTAGGAAATTCAGGTAAAGAAAAAGCCTGCTGCAAAAATTATCCCAAATCCCACCACTTAGAGAAAACGTCCATCTTTTCTTTACACACACACACACACACACACACACACACAATTTTATTTGTAAATTTGGGATTATGCTGTATATTGGTTAACTGCTTTTTTATGTAACAATGTATCCCAAACATTTCTCCCAAACATTCTCTTACAATATATATTGGTTTTTTCGTACGCACCATAATTTACTTAATTCATCCCCTCTTGTTAGATATTTAGGTTGTTTCCAGACTCTTCCTGATACGACTGCTATACATTCTTCGGGCAAATCTGTGCTTCTATGTATTATTCACCCGGAGTGGAGGGTTTCTTTCCTTTTTGATTTTTAGCCTTTTAATTATGAAAGCATATACCTGCTTGCTGTAAAAATTCAGAGTACAGGGACTCCTGAAGTGAAAAGTGGGTGTCTAACTTCCTTGCCCACCAGCCCCGCTCCCACCCACAGGCCTTTCGCCCCCCCCCGCCCCGAGAGTGCTGAGGGGTTCCCACACCCACCTCCACGGGCAAGGCTGGGGCTCCTATCCCCACAGCGGCCCACGGCTGCGCACCTTCGCTCTCAGCTCTGCACCTCCGTCTGACCTCTCACCCATCTGGCCCACCACCCATCACAATTCCTCCATCTATCTTGTTTGGAGGAAAAAAAGGAATTGAAAACCATTGCCTTCCACTGGGAGCAGAAACTTTGGCCAGAGGTCCGACCTTTTCACTTCACCAGTACACATTCAGTCGGTGCTTTTTACACACCGAGCCACCCCCAGGTCAAGAAAGCTGTCAGCAGCAGGGCCCGAAAGGCCCTCGAGCCGTGGCCTCCCACGCTCAGAACACCGTGGATGAGTCTGGCCTGCACATTTTTCAAGCCTTTTGATACGTATTCGCCAAAAGAGGCGGGGGCCACCGGGCCGGCCCAGCGCTCCCTCGGGCGGGAAACTGAGGCTGGGCGCCTGCGCGACGCGGCCCACCGCCGGGTTAGCTGGTGGCGGGGCCGGGGCGACCCCTGCGGGGGTGGGGGGACCCTGGCCACCGCCGGCCTCAGCGCCGCCGCCTCCGCAGCTTCGGCCTGGAGCACGACGGCGCGCCGGGCAGCGGCTGCGGGCCCACCGGCCACGTGATGGCTTCCGACGGCGCCGCGCCCGCCCGCGGGGGCCCGGCGTGGTCCCCCTGCAGCCGCCGGCAGCTGCTGAGCCTGCTCAGGTAGCTGCAACCCCCGGCACCGCCCCTCCCCGAGCGCCCCTCCTTCCCGTGCCCGGACCCACCCCTCCATCTGCCCTCAACCCTGTGCCCACTTACGTGGCGTCCCCGCGCCCACCTCTCCACGGGCTCCCAGCACGTCTCAGGAGGCACTCCTACAGCCCGCCTCTGCCCACCCCTCCCGCCCTCACCTCCTCCCGGCGTCCACCTCTCCATCTCTGCCCCCGCCCCGCCCCCGCCAGCCCATCCCTCGGGCCACGCCCATCCCGCCCGCGCGCCACCTCCCTCCTTTCCATCGCCTCCCGCCCCTGTGGCCACCGCTCGGTTCTCCCCTGTCCACTTCCATCCCTTCGCAGACCCACTTCTCCAACCTCCCCCGCCCCCTGCATCTGCCCCTCCCTCCCCTCCCCTCCCCTCGGCTCGAGCCTTGTCCTAGCCCAGGGTCAGCTCTTGGTGGGGCACACGGGCTGAGAACGCCCATCGTCGCCCACCCGAACCCGCCGCTTTAAACGCCCCCGCTTCCCGCGCCTACTCCATCCCGCGCCCACCTGGTGTCCGCCCCTGGCCTGAGCCGCGGCCTTGTCGCAGCGCAGGACGGGCGCGCTGCCTGTGGGACCCGCCGGGGCCGCAGTCCCAGCCCGCGGGGCTCCACCCCGAGGCGCACCCCGGCCTGTACTATGGCGCCGACGAGCAGTGCCGCGTCGCCTTCGGCCCGACGGCGGTCGCCTGCACCTTCCGCCGGGAGTACGTAGTGAGTCCAGCAGCGGGCGATGCGCACCGCTCCCGCCCCCCGCCCCTCCGCACCTGGGCCCCCCTCTGCCGCTCCTGAGCCCTGCACGCTGTGAGACCCCACTAGCCCAGACTGTCAGGTGCCGCTCGAAATGCTCAATTTTTGAACAAGGGTGCCCACATTTTCCTCTTGACGAGGCCCCATAAATTAGGTAGAGCTGGTCCTGATAGGGCCCCCGAGCCTGTGGACCTTGATCCTACCTAGGCAGTTACCGAGGGCTTCCCACCCAATGGGAGCTGGAGGGCTTCCCAGAGGAAGTGACCTCCGAGCTGAACCCTACAGCTGGGGTGGGAGCTGGCAGTGGGAGGGGAGCTGAAGGGGGGCAGGCACCCCAAAGGCAGACCCCCTTCCCAGGACCGCACAGGACTTGCAGGCACTTTCGCCTCGGTGAGCCCCTTCCCCCTCGTAAAACATAAGGAATTATATCTTAGTGTTTTCATGAAATATAGAATTTTACGTGTGTTGTTATAAGTACAGTGTTAATGTTATACATTAGCATATTCTTTCTGATCTAAAAGATCATCTTTTTCCTTCTGGTTTTAAAAGAGATGAAAGCATTTTTGTGGGCCCTGGGCACTGTCCCTGTTCCTGGTGGAGGAGTCCTCTGCGGCTGTCCTCTCCACCCACCACTGCCCGGGGAGCTGGCTGTGTCACCGTGTGCTGTGGTCTGGGAGGGGCAGTGATGGCTGGACACTGACCCCCAGGCCCTGGTGGCCCCTCAGCTGGCCATCTGTCTCCCCTCTTAGGACATGTGCCAGGCTCTCTCCTGCCACACAGACCCCCTGGACCAAAGCAGCTGTAGCCGCCTCCTTATTCCTGTCCTGGATGGGACAGAGTGTGGCGTGGGGAAGGTCAGAGCGGGGACTGAAGGAGCATGTGAGCGTGTGTGTGTGTGTGTGTGTGTGTGCGCGCGCACGCTCACGCACGCTCATGCAGACCTGCGGCCTGCAGCCCTCATCCTGGCGTGGGAGACAGGAGGACCTCAGTAAGCAGGGGCGTAGGGCCCTGGAGCTGTTCTGGGTCCCGGTCAGAACAGGTGGGCAGCAGGATGCCCGCGTGCACGCAGTGCTCGCCTTGCCCTCTGCAGGCGGTTCATAACAGCTAACTGGGAAGGCTTGCGCCTGACTCTGCCGGGGCGAGCGGGGCATCTGGCCTGCCCCGTCAACCTCCTCGCTGTTCCAGAGGGAGCGAGCGCTTGAGGGACGGCCACCCTGGGCCCAGTGTGGCGGCCTGGAGACAGGGACTGGGTTGTCGCCCGCCACCCAGAGTAGGCAAAGTTTTCCCGTGACTGCGTGACCACCCCCCCACCCCCTGCCGGCCTGCAGCGGCCACCTGACGTCCTGCTCCCGGCCCAGTGCCCTGCCCTCCTCTCTGCCTTGCATGGCCAGCCCTTCCTCCAGTCCCTGTCCTGTGGGAGGGGCTCTGCCCTCTTCTATTTAGCACTGGCTCCAAAGCCGGATGGGGGTCCAGTGAGTGTGTGTGCGTGTGTTTTTGGGGGGTGTACCTGTGGGTGTGGGATGCCCTGGGTGTGGGGTCCTGCCTGCCCAGATGGTGCCAGTCGTGGTAATGGCCAGTGGCATGACTGGGCACCCACCTCATGCCAGCCGCACTGTTCCTAAGTCTGCCAACAACCATGGGAGGCTTTCTCTCCATTTTACAGGCAAGGAAACTGGGGTCCTGAGGTTAGTAAACGGGATCCTGGGCGTACAGGTAGGAAGGGGCAGAGCCTGGGTTCAGACTCAGGTCAGCTGAGGCCGGTGGCGCCACGTCCCCTCTCCTGGGTGCCACGTCTCATTTAGAGGACAAGCTGGTGCGAGCAGCCGCAGTGCAAGTCGACCACAATCAGCATCTCGGCAGATGTACTGGGAGAGCTGGGAGCCTGGTGGGGGGAGCCTTCTCATTCGGGTGCCCAGGAAAAGGCTCACGGTGGGGGAGGAGGCCCTCGGGCTGCCCTGTGGAAATGAGCAGTTTAAGCGAGCAGAGGTGAGAGAGGTGTTTCAGGCAGGTGGACAGATGAGAAAGGACAAGGTAAATCCAGTCCGAGAGAAGCAGTGTTTGGAAGGAACGTTCTAGACTAATGGCAGTTACTCGCATCCCGTTGTTTTGGGGTCTCTGTGTCGGCTAACCTTCCTTCTGACTGTCTCTACGGCCGGCTCCCAGGCCCAAGGACCCGTTGTTTCGGGGTCTCTGTGTCGGCTAACCTTCCTTCTGACTGTCTCTATGGCTGGCTCCCAGGCCCAAGGACTAGCATTTCGGGTGCCCTCCCTGCTCATGAAGCATCCTCTCCAGGCAACCCCACCCCCACCCCCGGCCCGGGCCCCTGGAAGTCAGCAGAGCCCACACACACGTATCACCTCTCCCGCCTGCCCTTCCACAGGGGTCAGAGCTGCTTAGGGACCCATCCCTGGGAGCTCAGTTCCGAGTGCACCTGGTGAAGACGGTCATCCTGACGCAGCCTGAGGTAGGCGCTGAGCTGGACGCCCAGTCACTGGGAAACCGGTTTCTGCCTGCAGATGCGCACAGAGCCATGGGGGTGGCGGCAGGGCTTCCCGCCAGCCGGGCCTGGACCTGAATCCCGGCCCTGCCCTGGCACGCGGCACTGCTGAGCGTCAGTCTCGTCATCTGTGACATGGGGCAGTAACGGGGTCGCTCTGAGGACTGAGGTGGCAGCAGCGGCCCGCGCCCTGCCTGGGGTGGGCGCCCTGAATGTGCGCTCTGTTCCCGGACCCTCAGGCTGCTCCGAGTATCACAGCCAACATCACCGCATCACTGCTGAGCGTCTGTGAGTGGAGCAGGACGGTCAACCCTGAGGATGACACGGATCCCGGCCATGCTGACCTGGTCCTCTACATCACCAGGTAGCCGAGCTCCCCACCGGCGCGCCAGCCTGCCGGGGGGTTGCCCCTACTCTCTGCAAAGGTAGCCCGGCGGTGGGCAGGCACCTCGGCACTGCCCAGCTAGCTGTTCTCTCCTCCTGAGGTTTGACCTGGAATTGCCTGATGGGAACCGGCAGGTTCGGGGGGTCACCCAGCTGGGTGGCGTCTGCTCCCCCTCCTGGAGCTGCCTTATCGTTGAGGATACTGGCTTCGATCTGGGGGTCACCATCGCCCATGAGATCGGGCACAGGTAAGAGGCCCCAACCCCTGTCCCCAAGCTCCGGACAAGGACGTGACCTGGGCCCCCAGGAGGGGAGGTCATGGCTGGCAGTGGTCCCTAGAAGAGCCAGCTGGAGAAGCCTGTACTCTTGACCCCAACGGACTAGGGAGGGTGGGCGGGGGCAAGGGCTGGGAAATCTGATATTTCTTCATTACCGAAGGATTAAAAGAAAAAAAAATTTTTTTTCAAAATACAAGGAAAACAAACTTAGGAGCTAAAAAGTAATTTTTGTAGGAAATTCAGGTAAAGAAAAAGCCTGCTGCAAAAATTATCCCAAATCCCACCACTTAGAGAAAACGTCCATCTTTTCTTTACACACACACACACACACACACACACACACAATTTTATTTGTAAATTTGGGATTATGCTGTATATTGGTTAACTGCTTTTTTATGTAACAATGTATCCCAAACATTTCTCCCAAACATTCTCTTACAATATATATTGGTTTTTTCGTACGCACCATAATTTACTTAATTCATCCCCTCTTGTTAGATATTTAGGTTGTTTCCAGACTCTTCCTGATACGACTGCTATACATTCTTCGGGCAAATCTGTGCTTCTATGTATTATTCACCCGGAGTGGAGGGTTTCTTTCCTTTTTGATTTTTAGCCTTTTAATTATGAAAGCATATACCTGCTTGCTGTAAAAATTCAGAGTACAGGGACTCCTGAAGTGAAAAGTGGGTGTCTAACTTCCTTGCCCACCAGCCCCGCTCCCACCCACAGGCCTTTCGCCCCCCCCCGCCCCGAGAGTGCTGAGGGGTTCCCACACCCACCTCCACGGGCAAGGCTGGGGCTCCTATCCCCACAGCGGCCCACGGCTGCGCACCTTCGCTCTCAGCTCTGCACCTCCGTCTGACCTCTCACCCATCTGGCCCACCACCCATCACAATTCCTCCATCTATCTTGTTTGGAGGAAAAAAAGGAATTGAAAACCATTGCCTTCCACTGGGAGCAGAAACTTTGGCCAGAGGTCCGACCTTTTCACTTCACCAGTACACATTCAGTCGGTGCTTTTTACACACCGAGCCACCCCCAGGTCAAGAAAGCTGTCAGCAGCAGGGCCCGAAAGGCCCTCGAGCCGTGGCCTCCCACGCTCAGAACACCGTGGATGAGTCTGGCCTGCACATTTTTCAAGCCTTTTGATACGTATTCGCCAAAAGAGGCGGGGGCCACCGGGCCGGCCCAGCGCTCCCTCGGGCGGGAAACTGAGGCTGGGCGCCTGCGCGACGCGGCCCACCGCCGGGTTAGCTGGTGGCGGGGCCGGGGCGACCCCTGCGGGGGTGGGGGGACCCTGGCCACCGCCGGCCTCAGCGCCGCCGCCTCCGCAGCTTCGGCCTGGAGCACGACGGCGCGCCGGGCAGCGGCTGCGGGCCCACCGGCCACGTGATGGCTTCCGACGGCGCCGCGCCCGCCCGCGGGGGCCCGGCGTGGTCCCCCTGCAGCCGCCGGCAGCTGCTGAGCCTGCTCAGGTAGCTGCAACCCCCGGCACCGCCCCTCCCCGAGCGCCCCTCCTTCCCGTGCCCGGACCCACCCCTCCATCTGCCCTCAACCCTGTGCCCACTTACGTGGCGTCCCCGCGCCCACCTCTCCACGGGCTCCCAGCACGTCTCAGGAGGCACTCCTACAGCCCGCCTCTGCCCACCCCTCCCGCCCTCACCTCCTCCCGGCGTCCACCTCTCCATCTCTGCCCCCGCCCCGCCCCCGCCAGCCCATCCCTCGGGCCACGCCCATCCCGCCCGCGCGCCACCTCCCTCCTTTCCATCGCCTCCCGCCCCTGTGGCCACCGCTCGGTTCTCCCCTGTCCACTTCCATCCCTTCGCAGACCCACTTCTCCAACCTCCCCCGCCCCCTGCATCTGCCCCTCCCTCCCCTCCCCTCCCCTCGGCTCGAGCCTTGTCCTAGCCCAGGGTCAGCTCTTGGTGGGGCACACGGGCTGAGAACGCCCATCGTCGCCCACCCGAACCCGCCGCTTTAAACGCCCCCGCTTCCCGCGCCTACTCCATCCCGCGCCCACCTGGTGTCCGCCCCTGGCCTGAGCCGCGGCCTTGTCGCAGCGCAGGACGGGCGCGCTGCCTGTGGGACCCGCCGGGGCCGCAGTCCCAGCCCGCGGGGCTCCACCCCGAGGCGCACCCCGGCCTGTACTATGGCGCCGACGAGCAGTGCCGCGTCGCCTTCGGCCCGACGGCGGTCGCCTGCACCTTCCGCCGGGAGTACGTAGTGAGTCCAGCAGCGGGCGATGCGCACCGCTCCCGCCCCCCGCCCCTCCGCACCTGGGCCCCCCTCTGCCGCTCCTGAGCCCTGCACGCTGTGAGACCCCACTAGCCCAGACTGTCAGGTGCCGCTCGAAATGCTCAATTTTTGAACAAGGGTGCCCACATTTTCCTCTTGACGAGGCCCCATAAATTAGGTAGAGCTGGTCCTGATAGGGCCCCCGAGCCTGTGGACCTTGATCCTACCTAGGCAGTTACCGAGGGCTTCCCACCCAATGGGAGCTGGAGGGCTTCCCAGAGGAAGTGACCTCCGAGCTGAACCCTACAGCTGGGGTGGGAGCTGGCAGTGGGAGGGGAGCTGAAGGGGGGCAGGCACCCCAAAGGCAGACCCCCTTCCCAGGACCGCACAGGACTTGCAGGCACTTTCGCCTCGGTGAGCCCCTTCCCCCTCGTAAAACATAAGGAATTATATCTTAGTGTTTTCATGAAATATAGAATTTTACGTGTGTTGTTATAAGTACAGTGTTAATGTTATACATTAGCATATTCTTTCTGATCTAAAAGATCATCTTTTTCCTTCTGGTTTTAAAAGAGATGAAAGCATTTTTGTGGGCCCTGGGCACTGTCCCTGTTCCTGGTGGAGGAGTCCTCTGCGGCTGTCCTCTCCACCCACCACTGCCCGGGGAGCTGGCTGTGTCACCGTGTGCTGTGGTCTGGGAGGGGCAGTGATGGCTGGACACTGACCCCCAGGCCCTGGTGGCCCCTCAGCTGGCCATCTGTCTCCCCTCTTAGGACATGTGCCAGGCTCTCTCCTGCCACACAGACCCCCTGGACCAAAGCAGCTGTAGCCGCCTCCTTATTCCTGTCCTGGATGGGACAGAGTGTGGCGTGGGGAAGGTCAGAGCGGGGACTGAAGGAGCATGTGAGCGTGTGTGTGTGTGTGTGTGTGTGTGCGCGCGCACGCTCACGCACGCTCATGCAGACCTGCGGCCTGCAGCCCTCATCCTGGCGTGGGAGACAGGAGGACCTCAGTAAGCAGGGGCGTAGGGCCCTGGAGCTGTTCTGGGTCCCGGTCAGAACAGGTGGGCAGCAGGATGCCCGCGTGCACGCAGTGCTCGCCTTGCCCTCTGCAGGCGGTTCATAACAGCTAACTGGGAAGGCTTGCGCCTGACTCTGCCGGGGCGAGCGGGGCATCTGGCCTGCCCCGTCAACCTCCTCGCTGTTCCAGAGGGAGCGAGCGCTTGAGGGACGGCCACCCTGGGCCCAGTGTGGCGGCCTGGAGACAGGGACTGGGTTGTCGCCCGCCACCCAGAGTAGGCAAAGTTTTCCCGTGACTGCGTGACCACCCCCCCACCCCCTGCCGGCCTGCAGCGGCCACCTGACGTCCTGCTCCCGGCCCAGTGCCCTGCCCTCCTCTCTGCCTTGCATGGCCAGCCCTTCCTCCAGTCCCTGTCCTGTGGGAGGGGCTCTGCCCTCTTCTATTTAGCACTGGCTCCAAAGCCGGATGGGGGTCCAGTGAGTGTGTGTGCGTGTGTTTTTGGGGGGTGTACCTGTGGGTGTGGGATGCCCTGGGTGTGGGGTCCTGTGGGTGTGGGGTCCTGTGGGTGTGGGATGCCCTGGGTGTGGGGTCCTGTGGGTGTGGAATGCCCTGGGTGTGGGCACCTGTGGGTGTGGGATGCCCTGGGTGTGGGGTCCTGTGGGTGTGGGATGCCCTGGGTGTGGGGTCCTGTGGGTGTGGGATGCCCTGGGTGTGGGCACCTGTGGGTGTGGGATGCTCTGGGTGTAGAACGTGGTTCCGTCCTTCTCTTGCAGTGGTGCTCCAAGGGGCACTGCCGCTCCCTGGCGGAGCTGGCCCCCGTGGGGGCGGTGCATGGGCACTGGTCTAGCTGGGGTCCGGCCAGTCCTTGCTCCCGCTCCTGCGGAGGAGGTGTGGTCACCAGGAGACGGCAGTGCAACAACCCCAGGTGCCTCATGGAGGGCTCTGTTCTGTGGGTCAGGGAGGTGGCTGCTCCGCATTCCCTGGCGGGGGGCTGGGGGTCACCTCTCCTCTCACCCATGTCTCGTGGGCATTTTCAGACCTGCCTTTGGGGGGCATGCGTGCGTAGGTGCTGACCTCCAGGCCAAGATGTGCAACAGCCAGGTAGGCCTGCTTCCTGGGCAGGGTGAGGGGGTGCTGTTGGCAGCACTGGGTCCGGAGGAGCCCAAGGGCCAGGGCGGCTGTCATTTGTTCACATAGGGTGTTTTGAGAGTGAAGGTGGTGCTATTAATACCTGCCCTGGGACCACTGTGCATTCACCAGGAGGGTCCCACCACTGAAAGCAGCCGCCCTGAAGAGTCCCCCTTCCTCCCTGGATGGCACTGCCCGTTTCTGCGCTGAGAACAACCCTCCTCCCCGGCAGCCAGGTCCACTACCGCGAGAGCGTGGGCGATTCTTTTAGCTAGAGGTTCAGGTGAATTTCACCTAGCACAGAATCAACCATCTGAGGTCGTGTAGTTCAGTAGCACGTAGTACGTTCACAGTATCATGCAACTACCACCTCCATCTACTTCCAAACCATTTCCGTCGCCCCAGAGTAAAGCCCCACGCCCATAACGCAGCCACTCCCATGCCGCCTCTCCCAGCCCCCGCCAACCAGCAGTCTACTTTCTACCTCTGTGGATTTACCTACGCTGGACATTTCATATAAGTGGAGTCATACGATATGTGACTTTTTGCATCTGACTTCTCTCACTCACCGTGTTGTTTTCGAGGTTCAGCCATGTACCATGTATCAGAGCTTCACTCCTTTTTGTTTTTTTGCGGTTTATTCTTATTTATTTATTTTTTATAAATTTATTTATTTTTGGCTGCGTTGGGTCTTTGTTGCTGCGTGCAGGCTTTCTCTAGTTGCGGCGAGCGGGGGCTACTCTTCGCCGCGGTACATGGGCTTCTCATTGCGGTGGCTTCTCTCGTTGCAGAGCATGGGCTCTAGGCACACGGGCTTCAGTAGTTGTGGCTCGCAGGCTCAGTAGTTGTGGCTCGTGGGCTCTAGAGCACAGACTCAGTACTCGTGGCTCACGGGCTTAGTTGCTCCGCGGCATATGGGATCTTCCCGGACCAGGGCTCGAACCCGTGTCCCCTGCATTGGCAGGCAGACTCTCAACCACTGTGCCACCAGGGAAGTCCCTATTCTTTTCTTCTTATATTTTCTTATTTTTTGTTGGGGTATGGTTGCTTTACAATGCTGTGTTAGTTTCTGCCGTACAACACAGTGAATCAACTATACGTATACATATATCCCCTCCCTCTAGGACCTCCCTCCCATCCGGAACTTCACTCCTTTTTATGGCTGAATAGTATTCCACTGGATGGATGGACCACATTTCGCTCATCTGTTCATCCATTGTCCATTTGTCCTTACATTGGGGCTGTTTCCGTCTTTGGTTGTTGGGAATAGTGCCGCTAATGAATATGTGCGTACATGGACTTTTTTTTTTTTTTTTTTTTTGCGGTACGTGGGCCTCTCACTGTTGTGGCCTCTCCCGTTGCGGAGCACAGGCTCCGGACGCGCAGGCTCAGCGGCCATGGCTCACGGGCCCAGCCGCTCCGCGGCATGTGGGATCTTCCCGGACTGGGGCACGAACCCGCGTCCCCTGCATCGGCAGGCAGACCCTCAACCACTGCGCCCCCAGGGAAGCCCCGTGGATTTTTTGAGCGCCAGCTTTTCACTCTTTCGGGTGTACAATCTGGAATTGCCAGATCCCATGGGAATTCTACGTTTAAGTCCTTGCGGAACCTCTGAGCCATTCCCCACAGCAGCTGAACCATTTGGCCTCCCCATCAGCAAAGTGCAAGGGGTCCAATTTCTCCACACCCTCTCCAGCACTTACCTGTGTTTCCCACACGGCCATCAGAGTGGTTGTGAAGGCGTGGAGTGATTCCTCTGGCCTTGACTCAAGATCTGCACGTGTTGAGACCCTCCCTCCCTCCCCCCCGCCCCTGCCTTCTCCAGGCAGACTCCGAGGCCTCCCCAGACCAGGAGAAAGGAGTCCTTGCCTGGTGGTGGGGAAGGGCCAGGCCTGCAAGGAGGGCAGCCGTGGTCCCCGCACCTGCTCGGCCTGGCCACTCGGATTCTTTTCCTCTGACTCCAGTGCAAAAAAGGCCAGGACGCCCGCCCGTGGAAGTTCTTGTGCGGAAGCCCTTTGCCCTTGACTCTTGTGACTTTTCCAATTACCTGCCTCTGCAGGTGTAGACATAGCGAATACACATACTCAGCCCCGTTTTCTGAAGTTGGGGCCTCCCCCCCGCAGTGCTGTTTGCCCGGCTTTCCTCTGCGTTGCTGGGTGGTAGGCCCCCATCAGCGGAGGAAGGCTCGACATCCCCACTTTACAGAGCAGGGAACTGAGGTGCAGCCAGGAGCTGGGCTCCAACCCACGTCTTGGCCCTCGCACTGCCGGGGGCCTTGCTGTCTCCCGGGGCGAGGGTTCCCTGCCTGAGCCCCCTGCCCCAGGCCCCCTGCCCCGGCCCCTCCCGTGCCCGTCCTCTGCCTCCTTCCACCAGGCCTGCGAGAAGACCCAGCTGGAGTTCATGTCGGAGCAGTGCGCGCAGACCAACGGGGAGCCCCTGCGCCTCTCCCCGGGCAGCACCTCCTTCTACCGCTGGGGCACGGCTGAGCAGCACAGCCGAGGTGGGTCCCGGGGGGTGCCGGGGCGAGCCAGGCCTGAGACCCCGGGGCAGGGAGAGTCGTTGGGGGAGACCCACCATCACCCTGATGCTGTTGAGAGCAGGCTTCGGCCCTGCATCAGACATATCACGCATCCCACCCTGGCTAGCAGGTCGGGCCACGACTTCTCATCTCTGAGTCTCGGTTTCCCCATCTGCAAAATGGAGATAAGAGGCGTAGCTTGCTGCCAGGATTGCTGGCAGGAGTCAGGACGATGACACAGGGGAAGCACCGAGCGTGCTCCCTGGCTCGTAATTCAGTAACATTTATTACATCGCCATGTGATTACTGCCTCAGGAGGCAGGACAGGTGGGAAATAGAAACCTTGCCCCAAATGCAAAGAGTGAAGAGGGATGGCGCTTGGGGGTCGGTGAGGGCCCACTTGGATCGTGTTTCACAGGGTCACTGCCCTCCCTGCTCCCTGCCACCCTCCCATCCGGGTTTCTTGTCCTTCTGCATTCCCAGGGGACGCTCTGTGTAGATATCTGTGCCGGGCCATTGGCGAGAGCTTCATTGTGAGGCGTGGGGACAGTTTCCTGGATGGAACACGGTGTGTGCCAAGCAGCCCTCAGGAGGATGGGACCCTGAGCCTGTGCGTGTCGGGCAGCTGCAAGGTAGGCGTGCTCGGGCAGTGGAGGTGCCCTTCCATCCACTGTGGCCCCGAGGCCTCTCCCATCAGAAACCAAGATGCTAAGGGGTCTTCGAGGGGTCAGGTCTGGGGGGTGCTGCCCCCGTGAAGCTGCAGTAGAGTCTGCACTGGGTGATGCTGGGATACAGGGCCGAGCTTGGGGTCAAGAGCCTTGCTGTGACCTTGGACAAGTCATTTCAGCTTGCCTCCTGCACAGATGTCAGAAGCTGCAGAAATGCCCCATTTGGTTGTGTGAACCTCAGAGCTGTGGGTGTCAGTGGGCCAGCACCGTCCCATGACGTCACCTGGGTCTCACCTGCCACTCTCCTTTGCTCAGACGTTTGGCTGTGACGGCAGGATGGCCTCTGGGCAGGTGCGAGATGTGTGCCAGGTGTGTGGCGGGGACAACAGCACGTGCCGTCCTCAGAACGGCTCTTTCACGGCCGGAAGAGCCAGAGGTAGGGGCCTCCCTGGGGGTGAAGGGCCGGTTTCCCGCCAGCCTCCAAGAAACCCCACAGCCCGGAGCCCGGGTGCCGGCTGCCTAGGTGGCGGGGCCTGCACTCTGGCTCCGCCCTGGGCCCTCTTAGCGGCCTCAGCCTCCGCGTTCCTCTCTGCCAGCCCCCCCACGAGGCTCAGACTTTGGTGATGAGGCCACTGCTGGGGTTGCGGAACATCGGTAACAGTTGCTCAGTGCACCTGTGGTGCAGAAAAAATACAGACGTTGGGAAATCTGTGGTGGGCTGTCCTCTCCTCTCCTGCTCAAGGACTCTTAGCAGGAGGCACCTTATGCTTGGAAAATCCTTGACTTTGATCCATTTATAGAACAGGTCAGGTCTTTTGCAAAGTCAGTCGAGGAGTTGAGTCCCACCTCCCTCTGGCGCTGAAACCTGCTCCCTTTGACTGTGACCTGAGTGACCTGAGAACACCCCTCACCGCCGCCCTGCTTCCTCCTAGAGTATGTCACATTCCTGGCCGTTGCCCCCAACCTGACCCACATATACATCATCAACCACAGGCCTCTCTTCACGCACCTGGGTGAGTTGGCCGGAGGACGCCCACAGGAGTTAACCAGACCGTGAAGGCCGAGGGCACAGCCCCAAGGTGCCGCCACTTCTGATGCCACCCGCAAGTTTGGGTGCTCCCCAGGCTGCCGTCCGTTGGATGATTCACTGGGAGGACTCCCAGAACTCTGAGAGCTGTTACGCTCACTGTTACGGCTTATTACAGGGGAAGGATACAAAATAAAACCAGCCAAAGGAAGAGATGCCTAGGGCAGCGTCAGGGAGGGCTCCGTGTCCAGCTCAAAAGTGGCCACACACACGGTGTGCTGCCTACTCTGGGAGCTCTCCTGAGCTCAGGGCCCAGGTGCTATGGGGCTTCATTATGTAGACACGATTGGGGGATGGATTGATCGCCCCCTGGACGATCTCAGTCTTCAGGTTGGCTGAGGCTTGGGGACTCAAGGCCACCACCCTAAGTCACGTGTTTGGTCTTTCTGGTGTGGCCAGCTCCTGCCCTAAACAAAGACGCTCCAGATCAGGTCAGACACAGGGCGCAGGTCAGACCTGTCTCTGGGCAAGGCTGACCTCTTTACTTAACGCCACTGTGGGTCTTTATTTCCAGGGGGCGCCCTGGCCTGACCTTTGAATCTGGGGTGGGGTGCTCGCCCTGGGGTCCTTGAGCCCCCGTAGAGTGGGGTGTGAGTGCACTCGGTGAGGGAGCAGGTCCACGGCACTCACCAGGTTCCAGGAAGAGGCACAGAGTCACCGTGTGGGGAGCCTCCTGCGGTCAGACACCCTGTTCGGAGCGTGGGATACCAGGAGGACCTGCTCCCCGGGAAGGCTGGGGATCCTGGGGCGGGAGTGGCAGGTGCGGCCGTGGAAGTCATGCCCCGTTGGCCCAGTTGTCACCTTTCCTTAAACAGGACCTGTCTGTGAGGGGGGCAGTGCCAGCTCCCACGGTGGGGGGGTGGGGGTGGGGTCTCTGTGGTGCTGACGGCCCCTCCCCCAACAGCAGTGAAGATCCGTGGGCGCTACGTCGTGGCCGGAAATGCAAGCATCTCTCCCAGCACCACCTACCCCTCCCTCCTGGAGGACAGCCACATCCAGTACAAAGTGACCCTGACTGAGGACCGGCTGCCCCGCCTGGAGGAGATCCGCATCCAGGGCCCCACCCAGGACGACATGGAGATCCAGGTGACCGGGGGCCTCCCCCTGGCGTCCGCTGGTCCGTCAGCTCAGACGCACACCTCTTCATTCTCTTGGCGGCCGCTGGGGGGCCCGGGGTCCCCGTGCTCAGAGCCCACGGGAGTTCTGGGGTGCTGAGAGTGGGTCAGAGGGAGAGCCCTGTGCAGGGGTCGGGGGCTTCCCGGGACAGGGGCTGTGCTGCCGAGGTCTGAGATGAGCTGACGCTGCAGGTCGAGCAGGGAGGGGTGTCTTGAGCGAGCAGTGCATGCCCAGGGAGGGTGCTTAGGAGGGAGGGAGGAAGGGGACCCTCCAGGCGAGGAGGCTGGAGGGCTAGGCAGACCTGGAGGGGCCTTGCTGGCCGTGTGAGGAGTTCAGGCTTCCTCCTGGGGGCCTGGGGAGCTGCTGGGGGTCTGTGTAAGGCGGAGTTGGGGTCGGGCTATGTCAGACCCGGACGAAGGAGGGTGGGGGGGCACGAGACCATGGGGGAGGCTGGCTGGGCCAGTGCCCAGATTAGAGACCCACCGTGGGGGCATCTAATGCAAGAGGAGCAGAGGCAGCCCGAGAGCTGGAAGCAGGGTGACCCAGGGGTCAAGAGCACAGGCTAGGGACTCAGCCCAGAGTTCAAATCCTGGCTCTGCAGAAACTTGGACAAAAGACTTAATTTTCTGAGCCTCGGTTTCCCCGTCTGCAAAATGAGACTAAGCCGACCTACGTGACGTGAAGATGCGTTTGTTTTTTCTTCAAAACGACGCACAGCAAGCACTTGGCAGACTGTCTGGTGCCCCACACGTGCACACGGAAGGTGGCCAGAAGTTCCGGGACAAAGGGGTGGGCACTGTGGGGGCCAGAACTGGAGCCTGAATGTCCTCCTCCCACGCTTCGCTCTCCCCTGGCGGGGATGCTGGGTTCCCCAGATTTTCATCTGCAGAGTGGGGGCCAGATGGCAGCCCCACCTCCTGGGGTCATGGGCGGGCAGCGTGGGCGGCAGGCCCTGGCCCAGGGGCAGCTCTGGGTGGATGGTGGTTCTTGCTGTTTCTTTGGGAGCCCCAGCTGTGCTTGGACGTGTCCTGCACGCTGTAACCTCGTCTGCAAGTGGCGCCACGTGTGCTTTTCTGAGGAAGGTGCTGGAGGGTGGACGGGAAGTAGTGGACGTTGAAATAGCCCTTGACGGCCTTTGTGGGGGAGTCCAAGTCTCGACGGCCCCTCACTTTGGTCTAGCAGCCCCACCCTCTGCTCCCACGGCTGGGGAGGCAGCAGGGGCTCCCCCAGAAGTCCAGGCCAGGCCAGAGCGAGCCCCACCAGTGAACAGTTAACCACTTCCCCACCTCCCCACGTGGCCCAGTTCACCCACCTGCCCGCCCCTGGGAACGTTGTTCCAAGGGCTGGGTGTCAAGCAGCTCTGTTGTCATCCTTTGCGGTGAGGATAAAAAATACAGATTCTGGGGCCCCTCTCAGAGACACTCAACCAGGACCTGCTGGGGGGTGTGTGTGTGCCAAGAACCCGCATTTTAGCAGAGGACTGTGACGGGTGGCCAGATGAGGTGTTGTGGGAGTAGATGCTGGAACCTTGGGGGCGTCCTCCTGGCCTCTGCCCACCAGACTGGCCCCTCACAGGACCCAGTGACCCTCCTGAAGTACGGACAGACCCAGGCTCCCTGCTGGACACTCTTCCTTAACTCTCTGTGTCCTCAGGCTCGAGCCCAAGCTGCCAGACAGCTACAGGGCCCCTGATCCAGCCCCTTCCTGCCCACCTCTGGGTCTCATCTCCTGCTGCAGAAGCCCGAGCTGTGCTGGTCTCACCCCAGGCCGGGGCTGGGCTCCCCTCTGCTGGAACACCCCTTCACCCGCCTCCACGCCTCCCCCCAGGTGCCCACCCTGGTCAACCTCGGCGCCTTCTCCTTGCTCCCATAATCCCCCGTGCGAACCTCTATGCCCACACCTACCACCAGCCCACCCTCCCCCACCCCACTGTGAGCCTGGGGCAGCGTCCTGGTCACCGGGCCGTCCTCGAAGCGTGGCGTGGGGTCAGTGTCGGTGATGGCTTGCCGAGGGAAAGAGTATAGGGATGGAGGAATGAAAAATCGAAGGCTTCCCGGAGGAGGTGGCCGTGACAGTGGCCCTCAGACCGCCCACTGGACAGGCCCCGGCTCTCCGTGTGTCTCGTGCAGGTTTACAGGCGCTACGGTGAGGAGTACAGCAGCCTCGCCCGCCCGGACATCACCTTCACCTACTTCCAGCCCAAGCGTCGGCCGGCCTGGGTGTGGGCTCCCGTGCGGGGGGCCTGCTCGGTGAGCTGTGGGGCAGGTGAGGCCCGGGGCAGGGCTCGCCTGAAAGCCTGGTTTGCTCCCCGCACGGAGGTGGTCTAGCCCCCCTCTCTCCCCCGCAGGGCTGCGCTGGGTGACCCACAGCTGTCGGGACCAGGCAGCGAACGAGTGGGTGGAGGCTGCCTGGTGTGCAGGGAGCCGGCAGCCGGCGGCGTGGTCCGAGTCGTGTGCCTCCATACCCTGTCCCCCGTCGTGAGTGTGCCTGGGGCTCAGGCGCTCACTGCTCCAGGGGGGTGACCGCCCCCCCGGGAGGCTCAGGGAGGGGCCCACCCCCTGGCAGGAGCACAGGGCTAGGGATAGAGCCGTCCCTGTTGGGGGCAGGGCTGGGGCAGCCGCCCACAGGCACTTTTAGACAGTGGTTCCCAGGCTCAGGTGCAGCTTGGGGACACCTGGAGAGGTGGAGGGCTGGGCTGCCTGTACCTGCGCGGTGTCCGGGTACCTGAAGGGACAGTGGGCCCAGGACAGGCCCGGGAAGTGACTCGCCTAGACAGACCTGCCAGCCTCCCACCCCCGCCCCTGAGCCAGCCTAGGGACCTGGCCAGGGGCCCGATGCTCTGTTCCTCTCCTCAGCTGGGCGGCCGGAGACTTCGGCCCATGCAGTGCCTCCTGCGGAGGGGGCCTGCAGGAGCGGGTGGTGCGCTGCGTGGAGGCCCAGGGAGGCCTCCTGAGGACGGTGCCCCACTTCCGGTGCAGAGCGCTGGCTCAGCAGCCAGCGGCCGTGGAGACCTGCAATCCCCAGCCCTGCCCCCGGAGGTGAGCACGGATCCAGGCAGGTCCAGGCAGAGTCTCCCTGGCAGGGCTTATCCCTGAGCTGAGCCCTGCCCCTTCTGAGTGTCCCCTTTTCCTGAGACCTCTGGCCAGGCCCCACCACCCTGGGTGAGTGCCGACCTTGGAATCACCTCCTATCCCGGAGGCCCTGGACTGGCCATTTCCGCCTCTGAACTTCCAAGTCTCTGCTTGTGGAGGGCTGCGAGGATCAAGCAAAACCACGGATGTAAAGCAATAAATGTCACTTTGTCACTGCTATTGTCATTTCCACAGTGTCCCAGCTGATAGAGGCTTATCATTCTGATTTGCCGCTAACTGCCTGGGTGGCCCGGGCAAGTCCCCTCCCTCTCTGGGCCCCAGTTTTGTCCAGTGGGGAGGAGGTGGCCTAGGTCACTGGTGGTCCACATGTGGCTCTGGGCGTCTTCCCCCACACGCCCCGCGTCCGTGGCAGACGTAGCAGTCACCACTCTTTCCTCCTGGGGGCCAATCGTGCCTCAGAATCCTTCTCAACACAGCACTCCAGCAGCCGCCACCTCTCAGGGCTGCCACGGGAGATGCATTTGCTGTCCCTGAGCTGGTGATCGACGGCATCTGGCACCTGTTTCCCAGCACCTGCTAGGTTGTCTGGTTGGAGGCCCACCTTTGCCTCTGGAAGGCGGGAGGGTCAGGGCCGGTGTCATTGCACCCTGGGTGCCGAGTGGAGGGCCAGCAGCCGTTCATCCAGGCTTCAGGGAAAGGCCCCTGGCTTCTGCCTTTCGGCGGGGATCCCCCTTTGGGCTCTTGGATATGGGGGAGCAGGTTCACTGCCTCTCTGCCCCAGGAGCAGAGGCAGGGCCTAATGGCTGTCTTGTGCCGTCCTCAGGGAGATGCCAGATGCGTGCTCGTCGGCCTGTGGAACAGATCCGGCCGTGCAGAACACGACGTGTGTGCAGGGGGCAGATGGCATGGGGGCGCCAGCAACTGCTGGGCCCTGCTCCGCAGACGAGAAGCCGCCTGCCCTTGAGCCCTGTATCGAGGTGGCATGTCCTCCGGGCTGGGGCCATGTGAGTATACTGGACACTGGAGAATGGAGAGCACTGGTTACCACTGGCCTCCTGCCAGTGCTAGAAGACTGCCCTGTGTAGGGCTGCTGTCCTCGGGAGGCCCTGGGCAGAGGACAACCCTAGAGACAGATCTCAGAGCTGCTGGGCAGCCCCCTTCCTGCTGGCAAGCAGGCTGAGCAATGCAGACCCTGATGGAATGCTGTCAGTTGTCTGCTGCGCAGAGAGACGCTGCCACGCTCCTGCCTGCATCCACGGGCTCAGGCTGGGTGATGTTACTTTCGGACAAGGGTGCCGGCCAATCCTATCCCCGTGCCCCGCCCCCGGCTGGTGGGGACTGCAGGGCCAAGCGTGCCTGCAACTCTGGCTCCAGAGCCCCAGCGCGGTTGTGCCCCACACTGACTACTGATGCTGACGCAGAGGCCAAGGTGGGGCGTGTGGTGAGGGCATCCCCTGGAGGCCAGGAAGCAGGCTTCCCGGGAAAGGAGCAGCGGGGAGGGGAGGCCTTTGGGGTGCTGGTAACCACTTCTGTTCTCTCCTGAAGAGATTGGGGTAGGTGGGAGTGGAGGGCCAGGTGCCCAGAGGTGTGGAGATGGGAAGCCCAGACCCACCAGCTTGCTGCTTGCCCTCTGCAGTCAGATGCCCAGTCTCCAGGGGAGAAGGCTGCATCCCCGGCGGGCAGTGCCAGGCCAGAGGCTTATGCCGCACACGTGTGGACTCCCTTGGCGGGGCCGTGCTCCGTCTCCTGTGGTCAAGGTGAGGACCCCAATGCCCCTGAGGGTCAGCTAATTCTAAAAAAAGCATTTGAGGTGGCTTACACAAAATCCAGCTACACGAGAACATGACATTATAAGCAAGGAGATTGGGGCCAAGTACGGACAGCCACGCGAACGTGCTCACTGACTGGCTGTAAGGTAGGAAATGATGATAAAACCTGGCCATATTGGCACCCAAGAGCATATTCTTAAGGTCTAAGATGGGCCCCAAACTTAGCTCTGAGCTTCCTGGAGGCCAACCCAGAGAAACAAAATTAATTTTAAGATACACAGTGTTTTAAACTAAAACCTTGGGAACTCTCTGGCGGTCCAGGGGTTAGGACTCAGCGCTTTCACTGCCATGGCCCGGATTCAATCCCTGGTCAGGGAACTAAAATCCCACAAGCTGTGTGGCATAAGTAAATAAGTAACTAAATAAATAAGCAAACTAAACCCCTAATCACTTGCTCAGGTAAACTCCAGCATGTTTAGAATTGAGGCCAGAGATTTACTTTTGAGGATACTTTTGCAGAGAGATGCAAGGACACGGTCCTAATAACATCTTGGTGATAAACACAGTAAGAGATTTTCATATAGCAACTGTTATAATGCCCCTCAAGTTATAAGAGCAGTTACCACTTTTGAGCACCTACTATGCACCAGGCACTGTATAGCTCCCCTTGAAAAATCTTTACAAATAGTCCTCCAAGTCAGGCACCATTAGGTGAAAAACCTGAGGCCCAGAGAGGCTAAGTCACTTGTCCAAGGTCACACAGCTGCTAAGTGGCAGAGCCGAGACTCAGATCCACGTGGGCCTCGTCTGCTAGAGCTCTTCAGAGAGTGGGGCACCCATGGTCCTTGCTGAGCCCCCCTCTTGGGGCGCGGGGTCCCTCCTTCCTCCCAGCAGGCCTGATGGAGCTGCGTTTCGTGTGCATGGACTCTGCCCTCAGGACACCCGTCCGGGAAGAGCTGTGTGACCTGGCAGGCAAGCCTGGGAGCCGGCAGGAGGTCTGCCAGGCTGCCCCGTGCCCGGCTTGGTGAGTCCGGGGGAGGGAGACCATGCGGAGGGGCAGCAGTCTGGGTCCCCCAGGGAGGAAGGAGTCTTACCCTGGCTGTGGCTTCCTACGGAGCACTGGCCTTTCCTTCCTACAGGTGGGAGACCCGAGCCTTGGCACCGTGCCCCGTGACCTGTGGAGGGGGGCAGGTGCCACTGGCTGTTCGCTGTGTGAGGATGGACCAAGGCCGCGTTGTCTCCCTGCCTCATTCCAAGTGCTGGCCGATGCCTCGGCCCAGGCCCCTCGAGGACTGCAGCCCGGAGCCCTGCCCTGCCAGGTGGGCCCCTTCCCAAGGAGACAGGTGGTCCTAGGCGGGCATTCTTGGAGACGGCATCATCACCTCCCGTTGAGCTCGTGACCCTTGGTATCCTCACCTGCAGGAGTGGATTGTATTGGTGCCCGGAAGACTGTGGGGCTTTTAAAGTGTGTGACGTGCATCGCACAGGATCTGGGACGCTGAGGGCACCTGTGGTTGATGGGTCATTTTTTCATCACTTGCTCTTTACTGAGCACCTACTAAGTATGTCCAAGTGCTGTCCTGGCACAAGGGGACACAGCAGTGAACAAGACAGACAGGCATCCCTGCCCTCCTGGAGTAGACGCTGGGGGCAAGGGAGAGACAGGTGATAAGATTGATGGGGGAGACATACAGTTCATGCTGGATGGTGTTGGTGCGACGTGGCAAACAGTGGGAAGGAAGGCTGGGGGTGCCGGCAGGGGCGGGGTCCAGGTGACGGTGGGGCTAGGACTCCCACTGGAGACAGACATCTCGGCAGGGCCCCTTGGGTACCCTGCCCCTCCCCCCACTGCTTTTTGGACACGGCCACCCTCAGCTTCCCCTTCTTTTTTTTTAAAAATAAAATTATTCATTTATTTATTTTTGGCTGCGCTGGGTCTTCGTGGCTGCGTGCGGGCTTTCTCCAGCTGCGACCTCAGCTTCCCCTTCTGTAAAATGGGGTCCTCTGAATATTCTCTGTCCACTGCGCTGAGCCTCTCAGTGGAGATGTCAAAGTGACCCCCGGAGAGAGAACCTTTCCAGGCCCTTTCCAGTCTGGGGAAGTGAGGGGAAGCCCCCCACTCCTCGGGGTCCCCCCTGACTCCGGTTTGCCCCAGGTGGCGGTACCAGCTGGCGGCCTGCAGCGTGACCTGTGGGGGAGGAGTTGCGCAGAGGATCCTGTACTGCGCCCGGGCCCACGGGGAGGACAAGGCCGAGGAGATCCTGCCGGACACCCAGTGCCAGGGGCTGCCTCGCCCAGAGCAGCAGGAGGCCTGCAGCCCGGAGCCCTGCCCGCCCAGGTCAGCAGCCCCAGGGTGTGCAGTAGGCAGCCTGAACTCCTGGCCTGTGCCGACGCCGGGCCAGGCCCGTGGGGGTTAAAGGGCAGCTCGGTGGCACAGGAAACAGGACCGCCAGGCAGGCTGCACTCGGTGTCAGAGGAGACACTCTAGCAAACTCAGGCAGTGCTGTCGGTTCTAATGGGGGTGACGGGGTGGGGAGGGCAGGGGCGCTTCCCAGTGGAAGAGGCAGCATCTGGGTAGAGCCTGAGGGCGGTCCAGCTGGGGCACAGCACCGCCAAAGCTGCGGGGACAGACAGCTCACACCAGTGGGGTCCGGGGGCAGGCTGGAGCCCGAGAGGGAAGGGCAAATATTCACCTGCCTTGTTCACAGTTCTCCCGTGGTTTCTTCTTTGTAATTTTGCATTTTAAATAATGCCGTGCTCTTCTGTATCATACAGAAACATCCAGAAAAGAATGTAACAGTCACCCCTGTCCCACCACCAGATTTAAAGGTGCTAGCATGTCTCCATGTTTCCTTCATATGTCTCCTTGGTTTTAAAGAAATACACCACTACAGATAAGACTTTATTTACCTTAAAACCTTTAACTCATCTGTGATTTACCTGGGGTCAGTCACAAAGTCGGGGAGCAAACTCTGTTTTTCCAAATCACTGACTAGCAACAGCATTTGCTGTATCCCCCCAGGTGCCCCCTTTATCACATCTTAAATTCTCGTGTGGGTTGGATCTGTGTCGAGGCTCCTACCAGGCTCTGTTGTTTTATTTCTCCCACCTATTCCCACCCCCAAGTCAAATTGTTTTCATTGCTGTAGCTTTGTGATCCATTTACCATCCATACCCGTGTCGCTTGATTTCCCTGCCTATGCTTAAATGTGCACCCCGTTTATTTTCCCACATCATAGTTGAAATGGTCTGGGATTTTTTTTAATGGGAATTTCACACGCACAGGAGCTCTGGTTACCCCTGGAATGTCACTGTGGCCACCCTGGCCTCCTTGATATTCTGGAACATTCCAGGCAGTGCTTCTGATTCAGGGCATTTGCACCTCCTTTCCCACTGCCTGAATGTGTCTGCTCTGGATATCCCTTCCCAGGCTCTGCTCAGAGTGCCATAACAGAGAGGCGGGGAGTCCTTCCTGTGACTTGGTTTTCTTGGGGTTTTTTTTTGGCTGCGCCCCACGGCATGTGAGATCTTAGTTCCCCAACCAGGGCTCGAACCCGTATCCCCTGTATTGGAAGTGTGCGGCCTTAACCACTGGACCGCCAGGGAAGTCCCCCCTGTGACATTCTAATTGTCACAACTGGGGGTGGGGAGCGCTGCCACTGGCATCTAGTGGGTGGAGGCCAGGGGTACTGCTAAACGTCCTACACTGTGCAGATGGCCCCCACGAGAAAGACCCATACATGGGCCCCAGATGTCACGAGGCAGAGAACCATATATGCTCCACGGTGGGCCGGGGCGGGGGGACCGACTTGTTCTGGTTCACGGCCGTATCCCGGAGTCTAGAAGAGCGCCAGGCCCACAGAGGCACGTTTTTGAGAGGGGGCATCACGGGCCGGGAGGGCAGCATAGCACGGGGACTCTAGGGCTCCAGTCTCCAGTGCAGCCTGCCTGCCTTCTGTCCCGGCTCTGAGAACTGTCGGTCATTATCGTTTGTTGAAACATGATAAGTTAACATGGGCAGGACTGACTGATGTGGAGATCTGTTCTCCTTCATCCTGGGCCACTGCTCCCCCGTCCCTGCTACTCGGACTAGCAAGCAGCTGGGTGTCCACGGGTGTCCTGTGATAAAGGGGAAGAAAGGGGGCACCTTGTTAAGGGAAAAGAGCTCTCTTTCCCGCAGAGCCTTTCCCTTGCCACTCAGCCCTGTGACTAGCCAGGAGGGGTGCAGGGGCTGTACTGCTGGATCCCAGTGGCCTTGGAACCTGTCCTGGCTGGCCATCCATGGAGCCCACCGGGGCAGTGCCACCTTCAGGGAAGCCTAGCCTCTCTCTGCGGTCTTCTCTTCCTGCAGGTGGAAGGTCATGTCCCTTGGCCCATGTTCAGCCAGCTGTGGTCTCGGCACTGCCATGCGCTTGGTGGCCTGTGTGCAGCTGGACCAAGGCCAGGACACAGAGGTGGACGGGGCGGCCTGTGTAGGTCTGGTGCGGCCGCAGGCCAGCATCCCCTGCATCATCGCCGACTGCACCTACCGGTGGCACGTCAGCGCCTGGATGCAGGTAAGTGCTGCAGCTGGGGCTGGCGAGTGCACGGGCCGAGGGTCCTCACGCATGGGGACCTTTGGGGCTTTGATTCATTGTGATCCCCTTAAAGCAGGGGGAGAGCTCGGTCTCTTGGGGAGAGGGCAGCCGGGGCACCTAGAGGTGGAAGACATAGCAAGGCCTAGAGACGTGGGGGACAGGTAAGCCTTAAGAGGCCCTGAGGTCTGGAGACTCCAGAAGATGAAGGGCTGATAACTCCCCACAGATGAGCAAATGCCACCCCGTGCCCAGCACCTCGCAAGGCGCTGGAGAGACAAAGGCAGACAGGGCCAGGTCCCCCGCAGAGGGGCTCGCTCACGGTGCGGAGGGAGAAGAGGCAAAGCAGACGGCCACCGCTGCCTGAGTCAGGAGGACCCTGGGCATCTGGGTCGGGGGAGTTGATCCCTTGGATGGGGCAGTGCGGGGTGGGAGGGGAGGGTGGACACCAGGCTGTGATGAGTGATGGAGGGCGGAAGGACGAAGCCGCACTGCCTGCTCCCCGCTCCAGGGGCTGCAGGGCAGAGAGACCTCGAGGGCGACGGGGAGAGACCTGGGCTCGAACCCCTGCCCCTCCTCCCCGTGTGATCCTTGCAAGGTGACTTCTCTGAGGAGCGTGGACACCCATGCCCGCCTCCCGTGTTGTGCAAAGATTATGTCAGATCCTGCCCGGCCTGTGGTCGCCGCTGTCCTTGTCACCCTCCAGCGGGGTCAGTCCCAACTCCTTCCTGTCTTTCCTGGCAGTGCTCTGTCTCGTGTGGGGATGGCATCCAGCGCCGGCACGACGCCTGCCTCGGACCCCAGGCCCAGGTGCCCGTGCCAGCCGACTTCTGCCAGCATTTGCCCAAGCCGGTGACGGTGCGGGGCTGCTGGGCTGGGCCCTGTGCAGGGCAGGGGACGCCCAGCCCGGTGCCCCACGAGGAATCCACTGCTCCTGGCCAGACCACAGCTGCCACTGCTTCCCCGCAGTGGCCCCAGCCCCAGGCCCGCCTCCTCTCCCCAGCTCCCCGGCCGCAAGGACTCCCGCCCGGGCCCCAGGAAAGCCCAGCAGAGTCCAGTTACGTTCCTTCCTCCTTTCTGTCTGGGCGGCTGACTGGCTGCAAGAGGGGTGGGCAAAGGCATGTTCACCTGGGAGAGCCAGGCCGTGCTCCTTGTGGGGACCTCCTGGGGGTGGTCCTGTGGCTGCAGCGCCCGGGACGCTGGGATGAGTGTGGTTGGGCTGAAGGGATGGGCTTGGAGGCCGGGTTCAGGGGGCCTCTTCCTCAATGGTAAAGTGCAAGCTCACTTATTATCATCAAGGGAAAGCAACCTGAGGGTGTCACAGAGTCAGAATCCCCGCCTGTGTGACCCACTGTACACGCTGCCTCCCTCTTGCTGGCACGTCAGTGGTGGCTGTCTGCCTTGGGTGGCGATGCTCTGGCCCACGCAGCCCCCTCCTTGCCTGAGAAAGCTTCCGGCGGGGCCTAGGAGGACGCCAGACGCCCCAGCTCCCAGTCTCCTTCCCCAGCACGGAAAGCCCCCGGCCCTGCCCTGCTGGGGATACCCCACCTGGAAGCTCCCGCCCCCTTTCCAGGCGCCTGTGGCCGGCAGCACCTTGAGCCGACAGGAACCATTGACATGCGAGGCCCAGCGCGGGCGGACTGTGCAGTGGCCATCGGGCGGCCCCTGGGTGAGGTGGTGACCCTCCGAGTCCTCGACAGTTCCCTCAACTGCAGTGCAGGTATGTCTAGGGCCACGTGAGCAGCTGTTGCCAGTGACAGGATCTGCTAGGTGCAGTGAGTGCGACTCCAGGGTGCCCCATTCCTGGGGGGATTCTCCAGGTGCATCCCCGTGTGTAACCGTCGCAGCCAGCGCATAACTGGGGTGCGGTTGTCCCCACTTCACAGATGAGGAAACTGAGGCTAGGAGAGATTATCACACGTCCAGTTCCTTACAGTCGCATAGCCAGCAAGTGGGAGAGTCAGGACCTGGGCTCGGGGCGCTGGGTCCTCACCTCACTGCCACTTCCCAGGGGAGATGCTGCTGCTTTGGGGCAGGCTCACGTGGAGGAAGATGTGCAGGAAGCTGCCCGGCCTGACTTTCAGCTCCAAAGCCAACACGCTGGTGGTGAGGCAGCATCTCGTGCAGCTGCGAGGCGGAGTGCTGCTTCGGTATTCGAGCCAGCCTGCCCCGGGAGCCTTCCACCGAGGTATGGCGAGGCCGTGGAGCCTCCCCGCCTTCCCCAGAGGCTGGCTGGCTGGGTGCTGCTGCCAACGGGGCCAGTCCCGACGGGCCAGCGGGCAAGGCAGACAGGGAGCTGAGCTGACTGAGAATGAAAAGCAGCGCCTTCCCGGACACCCCCCGACACCCCCATCCCTGTATGGGCGGTCAGGACGAGGTCCCGGAGGTGCACGGTGTTCCTTCCTCTCTGGGGCCCTGCGCGAGATGGGCGGGCATCCTCACCCCCTCCCTCAGGCCATCGCGGGCCCCACACCCTGGCCCCGGCACTCAGGTCCTTCAGGATCCTTTAAGGTCCTTCTGCGAGCCTCTTCCCCCAGTCCTGTTGGGTGCGCTGTCCTCCTGGCTCATCCTCCGCCCAGCAGGGCGTGGGTGCACGTGCACACCTCGTGCGGAGGATGGCGTCCCCGAGAGCCCTGCTAGCCCGTGGCCCCATCCGTATCCACGGAGAGCCGTCTAGGTTGCTTCAGGGGGCTTGCCCTCTTCCACAGCCCAAGCTTGCTGAAGGTGGCTTCCCCAGGGGTCCCCCCAGGCCGCAGGTGAGAAGTGGGACCCTGGGGGGCTTCTTCCTCTGCCCCTCAGTGTGCAGTGCATAGGCACCAGCTCCTACCTGGTCATCACTCCTCACTTCCCAGCCTCCCCACATGCAGGCACCTGCTTTGAGGGAGGCCCAGGAGGCGCAGCCAGGAGGGGCTGCCCCGGTTGGGGCGGGTGCAGCATGAAGAACTTTTGCACGTGTGACTTTGCTGATTCCTCTTAAAGACTGCCCTGCCCAGTGTGTGCTGTCATTCCGTTCGCTTTACAGAGGAAGGAACCGAAGCGCGGAGCGTTTAAAGCCTTCACCTAGGGTCACACAACTGGGAAGTGGTAGAGATGGGGTTCGGTGGAGACTTCTGCCTGGGAGCCCCGATCTTGACCGCAGTGCCACACTGATCCCCCACTGCTCCCCGGCTGCCCTGCTGCCCTGGCCTCTGGCAAGAGTGGCCACTCTGGGGGACTCCTATGTTCCGGAGGTGGTCCACACCCAGTCTGTACGCCTGCTCTCCCCCTGCAGGATGTGACATGCAGCTCTTTGGACCCCGGGGTGAAATCGTGAGTCCATCATTGAGTCCGGATGGGAGGAACATGGGGGGCTGCCGAATCTTCATCGATGTGGCCCCACAGGCCCGGATCGCCATCCGTGCCCTGGCCATGGACACGGGCACCAGAACCGAGGAAACGGATTCCAGCTACATCTTGGTGAGGCCACCAGGATGACTTCTGCTCTAATTCTGGACATCCATCTCTGGGGACAGGGACTGGGGGTTGCTGGGCTATAGGACCCACTGAGTTTACTTCTGATCAAAACCCTCAAAATCATTAGTGAGAGAATGGGAGAAAAGTTTCCTCCACTTATTCACCAACAAATGCTTATTGAGTTCCCTACAAGAATGAAATAGAAGAGACCTTTTCCAATGTAGACTGCCAGTTCACCCAGGACCGAAGCATGATTTTAGACCCTGATATAATTTTACCAGAAGAGTGGGCCGAGCCCTCCCCGATGAGGTTTTCATGTGTTCTGGGAGAACTGGCATCTGTAAGGTATCAGCTCCCTGGAGGAGGCAGCCTGGCCTCTGTAATCAAACTAATCTGGACTCAGATCCCAGCTCTGGCATCCTGGCTGTGCATCCCTGGGGAAGGAGCACAACTTCTCTGAGCCTCAGTTTCCTAGGTAGAATAATGATGTCTTCCTGATAGGGCTGTTGTGTGAGGATTAAATGTGACCCTGGGTGTATGATACCTTGTATATTAAGGGCTCGTGAATGCTAGCTAATTATCATTTGTGGTCGGTCCCTTGGGGCTGCCCCTTTCCTCCCAGATCCGGGATATCCACAGCCTGAGGACAATGACATTCCGTGGGCAACAGACGCTCTACTGGGAGTCAGAGGGCAGCCAGGCAGAGATGGAGTTTAGCCAGGGCTTCCTGGAGGCGCACACCAGCCTTCGGGGCCAGTACTGGACCCTCCAGGCTAGAACTTATTAGCCTGACGATGCCCCGCATCTCCAAGCACATCCCTCAGTTGACCAGCGGTCACAGTGGGATGCCTCCTCCCGGTCCGGGAAGGGAAAAGAAGGAACCTGACATTTATGAGCACCCGTTAGGTGCCTGGCTTTCCAATTCGAATTCCCTCCAATCTTAAGTATCTCCTTTAGGGCTTCCTCCAACGTGCAAAACGTTAGAGGGTGGGAGGGGAGACTCTCCGGAAAAGCAGCTCCCAGCCCCTCGGGTACCAATAAACGGAACGTGAGGTCTGAGTGGCGTTTTCTTTACATAACCTGTCCAAATATGGCTTGAAAACCCACCTCCCCACACGGCAGGGATTCCCTGGCCGCGGTCGGACTCCAGATCCACACCAGATCTGAGCAACCCCCTGGCCACCCCTAGCGGTCGTCTTCCTACCCAGGGAGGAGAGGCGAGGGAGTTGGGAGTCCCGATGGGGCCCTGAGGCTGGCGCACCTGATAATTCTCACCGAAGCCCCGCCCCTATACTAGTCTGGGTGGGAATGTTTGACTGCCGGGGAGTCCTGCGGCGCCAGGACCCGCCCCCTATGCTAATAAGCGCGAGCCTTTAGGGCCCTCCTCATCCAGGTCCCTGCGGGCCCCGCCCCCTATGCTAATGAACACGGGCCCGCTCGGGCGCACCTACCCGCGGCCCCACCTCTATGCTAATGAGCACGAGCCTCTCGGGCGCCCCTCTCCCGACCCCGAGAGCCCCGCCCCCTATGCTAATAAGCGGCCGCCTCTCCCACAAGGCAGCGCGCCGGGACGACGCGGCCGGCTGGGGAGCCCTTTGTGAGGGCTGCGGGAGCGCCGGACGGCGGCATCATGAGTGGTGCGGGCGGAACGGCTGTGGCGTCCGTGAGCTCGGCGCCGCCCGAGCAGGAGGAGGGCGTGACATGGTGGTACCGCTGGCTGTGTCGCCTGTCGGGGGTGTTAGGGGCCGTCTGTGAGTACCCAGCCTGGGGGAGGGGCCGGCGCTGCCGCACGCTGCGCATGCGCGCCCGGCCCCGCCCCCCCGCCCCCCTCCCCGTGGCCTCCCCTCGCGGCCCCCCCTACCCCCGGGAAGAGGCCGCCTTGGGGCCGGGGTGTCCGGGCCACGCGCGGCTCTGGGCCGCGGCGGGGGCGGAGGGAAGCCGGCGCTTATGCGGTTGCTGTGGTTACCGCCCCGCGGCCTGGGCTCCTGGGTCCGGGGCTGTCGAGCAGCTCAAGGGACGTTCCAGGAGGGAACGACGCGGCCGAGACTTGCTCCTCCACGGCTCCTCTGAGCGTGAGGGCAGTGCGGCACCTACTCCGGGGGCCTTCCGAGATTGCCCAGATGCCAGTGCTGAAACTCAGGCTCAGTCTGGTCTGGAGGCCGCCTCACCTGTTGACTCGGGTGTGGGTGCGGGCGGCAGGTGCCTTAACCTTTGGGCGAAGGTTGTTTATAAATGGGGCAGGTGCTGGCCAGGTTACCTGAGGGCCAGGCGGTCCCCACGGGAGGGCCACGCAGTGAGCTGAGGGAGACGGCCTCTCCTCTGGGTCCGCGCTGGAGGCAGCGCGCTTCCCCTGATGTCAACTCTCCCTTCTGCTGTCAACTCTGCCTCCACCGTCCCTCATGTCCCCTACTTCTACTCCCCACCCCGCATCGCGGACACGCACACCCCGACCTCAGGTTTCCTGGAAAGCTAGGCGCTTTGAGCGCAGTCCCCCAAAGAACATACGTAGGAAGGCAGATCCGCTACAGAAGTAAACTAAGGATAATATGGCAGGTCTTCCAGAGGCAAGCAGACCCGGACCCGATATGTCGAAGGAGCACCTCCTTAGGCTCCCCTTCCAGGCTCGTGGTCCTCCCGGGTGGATGGAGGCTGGATGAAAGTTCAGGGGTGATAACGGGACAGGCCCTCCCTCCAGTCACAAAAAGGCCTCTGAGTCCCTGTCGTTGCTCTTCAGAGGGAGCATGTTTTTGACTTTGTAGGAGAGACTGGTCAGGGCTTAGACATGATCCTCTGGAGCCTGGGTAGCTGTTTCCCTGGCAGATGAGAGCGAGGCTGCTGTGGGAGTGACAGTGATGGGGCGGGGTGGGGGGGAGAAGGGAAGGGGCCTGAGCGTGGCCTGTGGGCTGTCATCCTCCTCCCTCCATCTTGGGGTCAGCTGCCCCGCCAACTCCCTCGTTAGCCCTGGCGTCGCATCTAGTTCTGCGCTTTTCGAAGTGGGATTCTTGGGCCACCCCAGGAGTTCATGGTGTTGGGGCTACAGATGACGCTTCAGGAGAAACCTGTGACGTCGCTCTGAAATGTCAGTTTCACCTGCAGATTTGGGGAAAGTGCTTGTCGTGTGAATCCCAAATAGTATATAATACAGAGCAGAATGCAAAGCACGGAGGAGCTTTAGAGATGAAACTGGAGTTCAGCTAAGCCTCGTGTTTGCGGCTGGTGGCTGTAGCGTCACCTTCCAACGCAGTGGGGGGTCTCGGGAGAGGCGTTTCCTCAGGGTCCTGATCATCAGCTTGGGAGGAGATAGGCTGGCACAGGGCGCCTCCCTCACCTGGCAAGAGTGCTGGACACCCCGAGGGGACATCTTCCAGCCCTTGATGGTTAAAGGACTCCTACCTGGAGCCTGGCTTGTCTGGCTTGAAGCCTGGTCCTCCCCCAGGGTTGGCTGTTGGTAGATAGTGGGGTAGAGGTGACGTGCCGACTGCGGCAGGAAGTATGGGGCGCTGTCAGGTGAGACCAGGCACGGCTGACGTCATGCAGGGGCAGTACTGTATCGTGGGCGCTCACGTCTGTGGCCCTGGGGAGCCTTGCTGCCTGAATGTGTGTGTGACCTGTCCCAGGACAGGTGCCGCCTTTAGTAGGCGGGAAGGAAGTACATCTGTCGCTGGAGGAGGCCTTGGCGGGGGACGTACGAGGGCGGTCCCGTTGCAGTTTGGGTTCACTGCACCTGGTTTCCTCTTCCGTCGTCTGCTGTCTGCATAGGGTTACATGGGAAAACCGGAGAATTCCAGGTCAGGTGCAGAGGGAGCTGCTGCAAGTTTAATGAACTGGTTGCTCATCGCTGCCTCGGAAGGCCCAGCTTCCTGCCCAGCTTCCTGCCCAGCGGCCAGGCGCTGCCGGGCAGACTCCCGGAGTTCTCGATGGAGCCGGGCTGGGGGCTGTGAGAGAGGAGGGAGGAGACTGTGCGGACCCCTCGGTGGGATGCTGTCGGGAGGGGTGAGCGAGGCTCCGCATTTGGGGCATCAGAGAAACCGCTTTCCGGGGTAGGAGAGGATGCACCCTCCCCGCTGCAGACCCTTGGTATTTCCGGGTGGGTGGGCTGGGCTGTAGGGCTGTCCTGTGTGCAGGAGAGAAAACAGGCCTGGAAAGGTGAAAAGAACATACGCAAAGTCACTGGGCTGGCGGGTCAGAGCTGGAATTGTGATCCAGGTCGACCTGGTCCTGATTTCTTTTCCAAGAGGGGCAGCCCTGTCCCAACCCAGACCCAGAGGACTTCTCTCGTGGCCTGCCCTGGGCACGGTGCCGCCTGCCCTGGCCTGAGCCCTTGAGAGACATTCTCTTTTTCATGCTACGCACCTTGTGGGATGGGTTTTGGGACAGCTGGGGTTCAGAGGGCGGGCTTCTCCAACCCCAGAACAGAGAGAGGGCGGGACGTCCATGCTGCCTCGCTGAGCCCCGAGAGCGAGCCAGCTCTGGGGTCCGGCCGCACCCGCGCCGTGAGGTCTGGGCAAGCCGCTTCGCCTGTCTGAGGCTGCGTCCTCACCTGTTCATGGAGTCGTTGTGTTGGCCTTGCTTGTCTCTGGTGGCAGTGGGGAGACGTCTGGGTGCTGTAAGAGCCAGGTGCTGGGGTCGGAAGGGGTCTCGTGCTTCCACGAGCCGCCGTCTGCCCAGGTGGCCTGCCCGCAGGCTCTGTCCCTTCCTCCCTGCTGATCCCTGCCCGTCTCTTGCTTTCAAGCTTGCGCCATCTCCGGCCTCTTCACCTGCATCACCGTCCACCCTCTGAACATTGCGGCCGGCGTGTGGATGATGTGAGTAGCCGTGTGACCGTCCTGCCGGGGGGTTGGGGCGTGTGGATTTCTGGGCACCTCCCAGGTGGAACACGAGTGAGTTGAATTGGGTGGACTGGTCTGTGAGGGTTACTGGGCACCAGTGGTGTGTG